TAGGTATATATACAGGGTGTTCCAGACCACCCGTACACCCCCTCTAGAATCCAAAATAATGGATTAATCAAAAACTGCTTCAGACAAAAGTTGCTGGGCTTCGAGGGGGACATATCCGTACGACCTTGGCTTTGACCTTGGAGGTCATGTCAAGGTTATTTCAAGGTCAACTTTGTTTTTTTAAATAGGAACCCCCATTTTTGACCCCGGATTCGGAAAGAGCGGGAAATTTTACGTCCAAAACGGTATTTTTAAATTTTTTTTCATGGCCTTGAGAAGGTCGATTTAAGGTCAAATGCTTGAAAAACTGCCTAAAAGCGTTTTTTTAATTTTTAAGATATCGAAAAATGACCTCTACAAAATTTGTTCAGAATAGAGTGGGCCACCCAATGCACCAAAAACCTTTGACCTTTAACCTCATTTTGAAGGTCATTTCAAGGTCGAAGTGTTTTTTGTAATGGAAATCCCTCTTTTTAACCCCGGATTCGCACATAGCGCGAAACTCAACACAATACCTTATCCAAACGTCGGATTTCGCGCTATGTGCGTATCCGGGGTTAAAAAAAGGGATTTCCATTACAAAAAACACTTCGACCTTGAAATGACCTTCAAAATGAGGTTAAAGGTCAAAGGTTTTTGGTGCATTGGGTGGCCCACTCTATTCTGAACAAATTTTGTAGAGGTCATTTTTCGATATCTTAAAAATTAAAAAAACGCTTTTAGGCAGTTTTTCAAGCATTTGACCTTAAATCGACCTTCTCAAGGCCATGAAAAAAAATTTAAAAATACCGTTTTGGACGTAAAATTTCCCGCTCTTTCCGAATCCGGGGTCAAAAATGGGGGTTCCTATTTAAAAAAACAAAGTTGACCTTGAAATGACCTTGAACATGACCTCCAAGGTCAAAGCCAAGGTCGTACGGATATGTCCCCCTCGACGCCCAGCAACTTTTGTCTGAAGCAGTTTTTGATTAGTCCATTATTTTGGATTCTAGAGGGGGTGTACGGGTGATCTGGAACACCCTGTTGGTACAATCAAAGTTCTCAAATCGTATTTCACTTCGAATTCCCCTGAAATATAAACAAACACAGATATATTTAATACATCTTCATTACTAAAAGATAAATAATCTATTTATTTATATTAAAAAATTACCTGAAGCCTTTGCAATTACAGAGATGCTTGCGATAAAAACTCTTATGTCAGTCAATTTTTCCATATCCTATCTTGTAAACTATTCACAAAAACTTAATTGTGAATCTGTTTCAAACAGGAAAGCTGGAGGTTTTGCTTAACCTCGGTGGCAACTTCTTGATTTGTTAATGATATTGAAATAATAAATATTATATTCATTAGAAAATTTGTTTATTGAATTAATTAAAGACTATATGGAATGAAAAATTATGCTCAAACTTACCCTCGTTTCCTGATAACAAAAAAAAGTTTTGCTTCTGTACGTATATAAAAAAATATTTTCCCTGTTTTTTGGCTTATCTGCAAAGCCTAACCTAACCTAATTGTTTGTATAGCATTCATCAAGTGGCGCGTCAGCGGCACGTAGTTTAATAATATTAAAAAAAGATTAAATTTTTATTTTAATTCATTTGTTATATTGTAACAGGCTGCCGTTTAACCTGTAATCCCTCTTGAATATACCTATTCGATTGGCTAAACGACGCCTTGTTATCTATGTGCTAGAAGCACATTAACTCACCTTGTCCGGGAGTGCGCCTGCGCAGAGTTCCCTTATCGATCGAAGTTAGGTTCTCGAACTCTCCGCTTGGAGGCGCTGGCGCGCTTGCTTAGCAGCGTTCCGTCGGCCGCTGCTGATAACTCGGTTGGCGAGCCGCTTCTCACGTTGCCTACGCTATCCGTGCTATATTACCGGCGCGTTCGAATTGAACGTAAACAATAACACGGTTCCCGGACAAAGGAAAGACAAAACAATACTATCGTTAAGTATAAACTACTGACCACTTTATTGACTTGAATTGAATACAAGGGAGGATGTTGCCGAGAGACTCACGCACGCGAATTCGGATGACAATACGCACGGGGAGAGACAGAGAGAAAATCGCGATAGCCGCGGGCTAATCGCTCGCACGCTTTTTACAATATCGCCGCACACGCTGTGCGGGATCGCACGCTAATAACGATAAGCAGTACTGTGCACCTACCGCGGAGTCGTTGGGGATACGGTGGCCAACCGTACCCGTCTAAACAGGCTGTCTGTGGGCTGCCTCTGCGCCTGATCTCCCGCCGCGGCTGTTGACGCTGCCGGGGTTTCTCTTGCGGCTGTCGAGGTCGCGCTCGTACTCCACACTCACTATCGCTGCACTTCACCTCCTGGATCTCGCTCAAGAATGTCACACGCGCTGTTGTTTCTCACTCACAGAAATCAGTGATGCAGCTGGACTGAATGTCACACGCGCTGTTGTTTCTCACTCACAGAAATCAGTGATGCAGCTGGACTGAATGTCACAGTCATACTGGCTAACAAACCCTCCCCTCCCGGTAATTGCCCCTACGCGCCCTCTCTCTCTCAAACCGATCGCGGCTGTTACGCTCAGCCGCTCAGTAACCTACGCGAGTCAAAACGATTCTCGGCGATCGTTGCAATAATATATATATATATATATATATTGGAATTGGTCACTTTGGCGAGTATTTTAAGTAGTATTGGTCATGTCGGCGATTTTTCTGGCAGTTCGGCGCACGCTCCAAACTGCCAACACGAAATTGGTCAGTTTCACGAGACTCTTCGAATTGCCATAGGCAGTTTGGGGAGTTTCTTAAATGCAGCCTTATATACGCGACCCAATTTGTACACTCACCTACCCCGTTCTGGTCTGCATAATTAACGTTAAATTAATTAAAAATATACGAATCGAAAGATTTTGATAATGCACCTATGTTTTCAGATTTATTTGCCCATCTTTAGCTTCTTCGTAAAAAATTCATAAAGAAAATTATTTTCCCAAGAATTTTAAACATCTCTGTCTTTTACTGAATGGAATTTCTGAACGTAGTAAATTGTAAGAAAATTGTCCCTAAGCTGATTTCGTTTGCCCACTTAACTGAAATTAAAAATATTCAATAGCTATTTTATAAAACTAAAAAATTATAATCGACAGTAACATTTCGCGCTCGCGCACGCGCACGCTTAATAAAAAAGAATTATCGTATCAAAAACGTCATCCTAAATTTTTATTTGAACTATTTACGAAATAACTGTTGCATCAAACTAATAGCTAGCAAGGAGATTCGTCTGTAAAAAAATTATGAGTCAAATTATTTATTTAACTTAGATGCTCAAATTATTACATCAATAATCAAATCATTTTTATATGATATGGCTTTCATTCTACATTGAGCATGCACAGTGTACGAATTTCGTAGTTAGCAATAGTTTGGATTATTAATTACAATTTTTTAGTTTTCAAAATGCTTATGAAATATTTTCACTTTAAGTTAAGTGAGCAAATTAAATTAGTTCGGGAGCAATTTTTTACAACTGACTAGGTTAAGAATTACCTTTTAATAAAAGAAATAGAGATGTTTGAATTTCTTGGAAGAATAATTGATTTTATGAATTTTTAACGAAAATGCTAAGGAGAGCAAATAAATCTAATAACATAGGTGGATTGGGCAAATTAAAATATTTTCGATTGGTATATTTTCAATTAATATAGCGTTAATTCTGCAGGCTAGAATGGGGAGGTCTTACACACGCGTAAATAGCTGTAAAAGGGTTTAGTTATATTTTATAGTGCCTATATGTACAAAATTTATTATTTATTAGTAATCAGTATCAGTAATTGTATAAAATGCAGTATATTAGTTTGGATAGTTTGCATCCTTCTGTGCAATTAATAGTGACTTTTATATGTATGTGACATCATAAAATACAACTGTTTATGAAACATACTTAGCTTTGAAGCTAATATGAGAAACTTCCATGTGCTGTCAAAGTTTTATACATTGTTTGTTTTGTTTGTATAATAGATAATGCCATAGGAGTGATCATTTTTTTTACCAGTGTATATTTATAATAATTAGCGAGGCTGTCAAACAAAATAAATCTTAATACTTGTTGAAAAGATGTTTAAAGTTTATGATTCCCTTTCACTCAATAATTATAAAGGATTGTAAATAATTAGTTTGACTATTCGAGTTGAATCATTTTTCATGCAGTATGGATATTTTATGTAGTATTTATTGTTATACAAAAATGTTTTCATCGACATCCTTACATTGTAGACTTTATAAAATGTACAAGTTATCGGCAGAGTAACTTGATCAAACAAAATTATGATTCCCCTTCAATCAATAATTATAAAGTATTTTTAAATAATTAGTCTGACTATTCGAGTAGAATTATTTTTTATGCAGTATACTGTATGTAGCATTTATTGTTATATAAAAATGTATTCATTGACATCTTACATTGTTGAATTTATAAAATGCACAAATTATTGGCAAAGTAACTTGATCCAACAAAATAAAGTTTTCTTTTCTTATAACTAGAATAAATTAATTAATACAATAAACATATTTTTAAGTTTTTCAACTAGTACAAAAACTCAATTAAAATAATATTAAGGAAACTAACTGTACCATATGTATTACAATATTCTCAAAATCTTAAACTTATAAACGTTTCTCAGTACAAAGTAAGATTAGTTTTACAATTAAATGTATGTAGTTATTAAATAACTAACTCTTGAAAGTAATTAAGGAGTAGTCAACTAGTACAGAAACTTAATTAAGATAATTTTATGAATCTCATCATTGGTTATTATATATAATGATCAAATTAAGCACTGTCATATTTTAGGTAGTTAACTTATATTTTATTAAGAATCTATACTTATTATACAATGTTAAAGCTCTTATTTCCAAAATGTACTCTTAAAAAAGTAAATGGATTGCAAATATTCAAAGCATAATTATAAATAATATTAAGAAAATAAATTATACTATATGGTATTACAATATACTCAGAATCTTGAACTTTAACTCATTTCTCAGTTCAAAGCAAGTTCAATTTTACTATCAATTGTATATAGTTATTAAATACTAACTCTTTTGAACGTAATTAAGTCTTGATTAAGTTTTACTTATCTTATGACTTTTTAATACTTTTTCATCAAATATATCCACATAGAATATTTTAAGTTTAAAGTCTACATACACTCTTTGCATAGAAAGTAATAACTATTATCCCTTTATTGTGATCTTCGTCTGATAGATAATTCAACCCAGTTTTGAATATTTTTTACAGTGATATTTGATTTTGAAGGTGAAGTTGCTAGAAATTTTATGCATTTCTTATACGAAGGCACTTTTTTAGATTCTATATATTCTTTGAAGCTAGAATAAATAAAGCTTGGGACATGATTTCTTTGTGATAAACAAGAGTCAGTTTTTTTCTTGTTTCTCTGATTGTGGACCCAGGATCTTACTTGAGCTTCTGTTCTCAACTGCAAAACTGGATCATGAGTGTTTTTTAAAAATCTTTTTAGGGTAGCTCCATTAGGGATATTATGATTCAAATCCAAGATTTTAGGAAATTCAGATAATAATGCATTAATTGAAGCCTTATTCCATTCCAGTCTCAGTCAGACTAAAAGATGCAGTTTAAGTGCAAATTAAGTTGTAATTATTTCATTACCTGCAAATGAGAGTTTTTTTCCATGGACAATATTGTTTTTGTTTTGACATTTGATGTTGACTGGCTCGTTGTTTTCAAATGTAACACTGTTATCATTGCTCTTATAATCTGAATCTATATTTTGATTTTTAATTAGTTGGTGATCAGTATTTAGAAGATTTACACTTGTAGCTTCACATAAATCTTGATGACTTGTACTTCGTAATCCCTGTGCTTTTTTAACTTGCTCAGAAATGGTTACGTCTCTGTCAAACACTCTTTGCCTGTAGCTCAGTTTGTGAATTAACGGTGTGTGTCCTAAATAATCTGATAATTTATTTAGTTCATTTTCATCAATTCCTCTCTCTAGACCATCGGTAGCCACTTTCTGTTTAATTCGTGTGCCTCTCAAAGTTTCAGGTGCCTTTGCATTGCAAATCTCTGAATACTTTTTCATAATTTGACATGCTGATGCGAATGAAAAGTATTGATCTGAAACGTCGTTAATGGTTGAAAAAAGATAAGGATTTTCATCTAATATTCCAGCTTGTGGCCTGCAAGATATAAGAAAATCTATGTACACTTTTACAGTTATGTCAAAAATTAAAGGAACTACTTATTTTCTTTTTCCACGCAATTGAACTCTGCAATTATTCCCATTAATTATCTTCATGCTATAGTCATTGATTTCCATTCTTTCAACCTCTCCAGGACGTCTAGCATTTGATGTTTGTACGAAACAGAGAATAGAATCTCTTAATCGTTCATAATTCCCATGAGAGTATTCCTTTTGCAGCTGCAAATATGACTCAGACATTTCTTTCTGTAAATGACAATTAAGACGAACCGTATCTTCATTTTCTGGCAATTCTATTAATTTTAGCCTTTGATTTCGTGCTTGAGTCTCTGCAATTGTATTTCCGATGCTGGTATGCCATAATCTGTTTAATTTGTTTTCAAATGCTTCTATCTGTAATCTTTTTTTTTTATCTTTTGAGCAACACATGTAATTGTATATGCTAGATACACTTTTTATCAAATTGAACATGTCATTGGCTGTGGCTGGTGATTTCATAAATTTGCTATTTGGATCAGGTTTTCCCATGATTTTGACAGCGCTGATGAAGTCATCGTAGTAGTCTTCATTGAAAATATCTTTTATCTCAGTAATATTTTGATTTATATTTTTTATTGTCATTAATAAAGTGCCTAGCCGACTGAAACTAGCTCTCACCTTTTTATGGTTATGTGGTTGAGTTTCAAACTTAGATGCTTCCCCATTGAGCCATACAAAAGCAGCCTCATCATACTGGATTTAATGAAGAGCTGCAGTCTCTCTCATTTTTGAAATGATAAAAATAGATTGTTCAGTTGCTATTGAATGATAGTCACCATTGACTGCCCTTCCTCTTGATTTTATGATGTGTTTCTTTCCAAAAGATAATCCAGTACATTTTCTTACATGTTTCCGTAAAGAAGTGATAGAAAATGACTGCTTACATTTAAAACAAGGTAAATAATGTGAGATAGTTTTACCACTTTTTTTTGGTCGCCTGCAGAGAACATAATCTTTTCCATTGGTTGCATTCAAATTATTTAGGTAATTGGCTTTAAATCTCAATACATTTAAAATCTTTCTGCGTTTCAAGGAAGCATCACAGTTTTTTTCACCTGGCTTAATTTTTTTCTTTAGATTTTCTAATATAAGGACTGCTTTTTCTTTGGCATGCACATTTATGTAATGATCTGGCAATCTGGTAAAATGAACTTTTATATTTGGATTATTTTCTCTAAGGCGTTTCTTTAGACAGTAAAAGCAACAATTTTTTTTTTGACATTGTTTACTAGATAAAACATACTCTGACTTTTTATTCTTTAGTGCAGGACCCACAGATTTCAAATTTACATTATCAAAAGAATTATTGATGCTACTCAATTCACTAACGTTTGCTGAATTATTTTGATTTTCTGTACTTACATTATTAACTGTGTCGCATTTTTTCCTCCTTAATGCTTTTTTACTGTCGCACAACGAATCTTGTTTATTTTTAGTAACGTCTGCTTTAAAAGTATCTAGTCTATTTTGTCTGCTAATTTTTAATGGCTTATCCCAATTTGTATCTGTAGTCGTGGCCTCATCAGAAATTTCTTTTTCTACATCTAATATCTCAGGCTCACTAATATCTCGATATTTTGAACAATCTACATTTTTGACTAATTCATTGTTTGAATCAAATAAACTTTCATTGTCTGATGAAAGACTCAATGAGTCATCACTAGAAATTTCATCTTTATCTATATTTATACTTATTGGATTAGTCTCTTTATATAAATTAAGTGGAGAAAGAGATTTTTTGTTGCTTACATCATTTTCAGAATTTTCCACTTCATCATCACAATCCATTCTAGTTGAACAAGAAGACTCGCTACTTGCATTTGATTCTGAAGGCTGATATTCTGAACCAGAAGTGACAGATTCATCTTCACTTTCAAAGTAAGACAAATTATAAGATCTTTTATTATTTTTTGGATCTTTTTCTGAAGCTTGAGAGTTTTGGCTTGATGCTTTTTCCATTGGAAATTTTGGCTTAGCAATTATATCATTTTCTGAATCAGAATCAGAAACTGGCTCAAACATTTTAAAAATATCATCTGATATATCGGCTAAAATATAAAAAAAAAGATAAACCGTTTAAAGTAATGCATATAGCATAAACAGTTTGATGTTTTAAAATATGCAGAAACAATAAAAATATATTACTATCAACGCTATTTTTTCTGGTTGAATCCATTACTCAGGTTAACCGTAATAAAAAGGTTGAATGTCTATTAGGTTAGCACTAATTTTAGATAATTAGGAGAGGAAACAACTCATGTTCTCAGTAAGCCCGTATATTGATAAATTAATAAGCATAGCCACAAAAAATGATTTTAAAAGATTTTAGAATAACGTAGACAAATTTTATTAGTAAAACAACCATGGAATAAAGAAGTCGAGATGAAAAGGTCGTCACGGTTAAGAAATAGAAAATCGAGTTTACACTTACGGTCCGGTCACGTATATGCGTACAAATCACTAATAGTATTTAGTAATATTTAATAACGCCACCTATGTAGAGAAGTCACATTTTTCAGTTACATAGAGGATGATGCAACTCAAAATATTGTATTTTCATAGTCGTGACGAACTACATTAACAATAAAAACACTACTAATCTATGTATCCCTAACTGCACCCTCCATATATACTAATAAATTCAATTAAACCTTACTAAATATTCGGAAAAAAAATGGAAAATGATGCTAATTTTTTTAAAGAATTTGCAAAGACGATTATTCCAGAAATAATAGAGATTTTTACGATGTGAACACACCAGAATGCTGTATCTTGACTTATCTTGCATGCACCCTTTTTACTATTTTGAAATCAATAATATAAATAAAAATAATTCTTAAAAATTATTTTTAAATTAGCTATGCAACACAAATCCAGAGCGCATGCTCAGAAGTCTTACAAGACAAATAAACTGTTTAGGTATATGCAATTCGCACACACGAACAATTTCTACATTATATAGAAGCGTTATTTATTACAGAGAAATTTATAATATTCAAATATTCAACATACATTACTTTATTAGTGTTTGTCAATAACTAGAAGAGTGCTGTTAGAATCGTTAGCACGACGCACTCGTATTTTCAAAAATTGAGAAATTGAAAAGCATCCGTGATTTATGCAGACTTTCCATCTCTTTATGCGGGCCTCCGCATAAGTCTCTTAGTAAAATGGTAATCCTTTCCGCATTTATACGGACAGTTCTCATAAATGTTATTTCCAATGATATGTAAGATATGCAGACGGTACGCATAAATCGTAATTTGCATTTCAAACCTTAGAAAATATAAATTAATATAGATAAATATAGATAAATTGAAATACACATTAGAGATCTGTTATATACATTATATTATTCTTTTGTAATTTCTGTTATTCTGAAGAAAATTTAATCGAGAAAATAACAAGTATTGAAGAGAAAAAACCGAAGAAAGAAACAAATAAAATACAATGTTAGGATTTAATGCTTGTAAATGATTTCTGCAAATATTTAATTTTGGATCCATATATACAATTTTTTAGTCGTAAAATTTACAAAAATAGTATCATTACAGTTGATGTTCAAATAAAGATCTAAATGTTACTTAACAAATATTTACCTCTGACATGTAAAAATATAAAGCAATTGAAAAATGAATGAATAGATTTCGTTAAATTTCATTAATTATGTTTGGAATTTAATATTTTTTTATTTAAAATGGGTTGATGGTATATTAAATATGTACCTTGAAGCTATTGACGTGGAGTAATTAACTAGTATTAAAAAGTGTAATCGCTTCAAAAGGAATAACTTCAAAAGCCTTATAATAGCTAAAGACTATACTAAAGAGTCCAATGCTAGCATTTCTCAATCGTTATTATAAGTTACTAGATGAAGAAATAAAGTCTTCCCCAGAAATTTAAAATTTAGATTTTTCTTTAATGAAAAGTACTAAAACCAATGATAATATTATCCTACTTCGTGTTGTTGCCTTTATCAACCATGACTATTGCCAATATGAATTTTTTTCTAAATCATTTGTGAAAATGAAAACAATACAAAAATTTAAAGCTGGAGAAGAGATATCATATTCTTACAGTCCTAATTATTTCGAATATGAAAAAGAAGAATGTGCATGTAAAAAATGTAAATGTACTTAAAAAACTTGGTTTGCCAATATGTATATTGATACAATTGAGTACGGTACGTATAATTTCGTAATCATAATCCGAGTTCCAGTGGTGCCAATATAAACATAGACATAAGATTCGCTGTAAACCGTGTGACATACACAGCATATATGTCACTAAGACGCCGCTAGGCGGCGTAGTCGTCACACGGCAGGAATATGTAACTGCCTTTCATATACACCGTGGAAGAAGAGCACCGACGAGCTCACCCTCACCGCAATCTCCCATATAAAGGAAACCGGACCGGTTAAGCCCAGTGATACGGCGTTTCGTCTAATCAACCTTTTGTAAGAGACTGTAGAGTTTAGTCGACAGTTTACACCGTTGGGCACGGCAAACACGTGGTCACTATTAATCTAGCTCCCACTCTAGACTTCTGTACCACCGTAACCGTTCCCCCTTCACTTGAAGGGTGGAGTAATAACGGCGACCAGTGAACACGAGTCCTTGCCGACGATCGGTAACTTTTACCGATCCTCGGTTTGCCGTGCACTCGTAAATAGACGCGTACAGTTTACGTTATCAATTGTGACCAACGCGTTTTGTTCTCTTTGTTACAGTGACCAAGGCAAGACCTCTACGGGCAACCAACTAAATTGAATTTCTTTTAAATTTATTATTTAATAAAATCATATTGTTCTATTTTCTACATTAAAATACGTTGTCTTTAATCCAACCAAGCCCGAATCATCCTATGAAAAGATTAATGCTAGTTCTAGTGGACCACGGCTGTGGAGATTGCTCCGCGCGTGGAGATACGCTGCATTAATTCCTACCTTAATACATGCTTGACTCTAACGTTACAACCGTAATAATTTAGGGGATAATTTATACGGACCCGAGAGGAGAATTTTCTTGCCGAATCGCTGATTGGCGTCATGAATTTTATTTAAGAATTGAAGTCAAATTTTAGTAAGTACATATTTTTAAAACAAAATAATGATAAGATTTGTTTTGATTTGATAAGATCAGAATTTTCGTTCGCTTGGGTTTCTTACGGTACATGAACAATGCATCGAAGAAACAAGAAATCGTAAAATAAATTATATTATTTCTGCAAGCATTTTAATTTTCATTAACTCAAGATAATTATAGATAACCATGAAGATTTTTGTGAATCCTCAAAGTAATTAAATTAAACAAAAGCTTGGCTTGTATATGTGAATTTGGAATAAATTAACTTAAGACTTGTTCAGCGATATCATAATACAAAAAACGTTAGAACTATAATATTGTATAAACTAGAATAAATATAAATGCCTTTCTTGTGTAATATTATTATCATTAACGATCAGAATGCCTGATACTGATTGGTAAAGTATGTGTCCTGATAATCCGGTTCCCTGCAACCTATGCCCCAACTAACACAGAAATGGCCAAATTCGGTTGTTAGTGCTTTATATCTCCAAGGACGCTATCTCGAATATATATCAATCCCATTT